AAATACTCAATTCTACACAAAGTCATGAAAATTAAACAGCCTGCTGACAAATGATTATTGGGACAATAAGGAAATTACAATGGAAATCAAAAGGTTGCTCGAAATGAACAAAGGGGATTGAAGCTACCAAAATCTGTGTGATTCAGCAAAAGCAGTCCTAAGGGAAAAATTCATAGCCTTAAATGCCTACATCAAAAAGACAGACCACAAATTAACTATCTAATGACATGTCTCAAGTAACTAGAAAAGGAAGAGCTAACCAAACCCAAACCCAACAGAAGAAAAGAAATAACTAAATTCAGAGGAGAACTAAATGAAATGGAAAGCAAAAATCAATACAAAGGATGAATGAAACAAAAGGTTGATTCTTTGAAAAGATAAACAAAATTTATAGACCTCTTGCTAGATTAACCAGGAATAGAAGAGAAAGGACCCAAATAAGCTCAATCGGAATTGAAAAAGGAGATATTACAACTGATACCACAGAAATACAAAATATCATCTGTGAATACTATGAAAATTTCTACGCACATAAACTCAAAATCAGAGGAAATGGACAAATTCCTGGAAACACACAACTTCCCAAGACTCAATCAGGTAGAAATAGAACTCCTGAACAGACCAATAATGAACGAGATTGAAGCAGTAATAAAAATATCTTCCAATAACAGAAATCCCTGAACTAGATGGATTCACAGCTGAATATTACTAGACCTATAAAGAAGAGCTGATTCCCATGTTACAGGAATTATTCCATCATATCAAGAAGGACAGAATGCTCCCCAACTCATTCTGCAAAGCCAGTATGACCTTGATAGTAAAGCCAAGAAAGAACACAACAGAAAAAGAAAACTACAGACCAATATCCCTTATGAATGTAGATGTAAAAATCCTGAATAAAATATTAGCAAACTGAATTAAATGGCATATCAAATAAATAATCCACTATGACCAAGTGGGCTTCATACCAGGGATGCAAGTATGGTTCCATATACAGAAATCAATAAATGTGATTCACCACATAAACAAAAGCAAAAAAAGATGATATGAACATCTCAATAGATGCAGAAAAAGCATTTGACAAAATGCAGCACCCTTTCAAGTATTTGAAAAAATGCAAACCCTCAACGAATTAGGCATAAAATGAACATATCTCCAGATTATAAAACCCATATATGACAAACCCACAGCCCAAATCATACTGAATGTGGAAAATTTGAAAGCATTCCTACTAAGAACTGGAACAAAACAAGGATGCCCACTGTCACCGCTTCTCCACTTCTATTCAACATGGTGCTAGAAGTCCTAGCCAGAGCAGTCAGACAAGAGAAAGAAAGAAAGGATATAAAAATCAAGAAAGAGGAGGTCAAACTATTGATTTTTGCTGATGGTATGATCTTCTATCTAGAAAACCACAAAGATTCCACCAAGAGAGTCCTGGAATTGATAAATTCAGCACTGTCTAAGGTTACAAAATCAAAGTACACAAATCAGTAGTATTCCTATACAACAATAACAGTCAAGCTAAGAGGATAATCAAAGACTCAATACCATTCACAATAGCTACAAAGAAAACAAAATACCTAGAAATATGCATAATCAAGGAGGTAAAAGATCTCTACCAAGCAAAGTATGAAACACTAAGGAAAGAAATTGCAGACAACACAAATAAATGGAGAAATATATCATGCTCATGGATTGGTAGTATCAACATTGCTAAAATGTCCATACTACCCAAAGTGATTTACAGATTCAATTAAATACCTATCAAAATATCAACATCATATTTCCCAGATCTAGTAAAAATATGTCTACACTTTGTTTAGAACCAGAAAAGAGACTGAATAGCCAAAGCAATCTTAAGCAAAAAGAACAAATCTGGAGGCACCCCATTACCAGACTTCAATCTATTCTACAAGTCTACAGTAAACAAAATAGCATGGTATTGGCACAAAAATAGAGATATAGCCCAATGGAACAAAGCAGAAAACCCAGATATAAAACCATCTGCATGCAGCCAACTGATCTTTGACAAAGCAGACAATAATGTACACTGGGGAAAATAAGCCCTATTTAATAAACAGTGCTGGGAAAATTCGATAGCCATACTTAGAAGAATGAAGCAGAATCCATATCTCCCACCAGTCACAAAAATTGATTCCAAGTAGATAAAAGACTCAAATGTAAGGCATGAAACCATAAGAATTATAGAAAAAAAGTTGGAAAAACTCTTCTAGATATCGGCTGTGGCAAAGAATTTAAAAACAAGACCCCAATGGCAACCATAGCAACAATAAAAATAAATAAACAGAACTTGGTTAAATTAAAAAGCTTCCACACAGCTAAGGAAATAATCAACAGAGCAAATAGACAACCCACAGAATGTGAGAAAATATTCACAAACTATACATCCAATGAAAGGGTAATATCCAGAATCTACAAACAACTCAAGAAAATCAGCAAGAAAAAAATCAACCCCACTAAAAAGTAGGCAAAAGACATGAATGGAACCTTTTCAAAAGACAGACAAAATTGCCAATAAACATATGAAAAATGCTCAACATCACTAATCATTACAGAAATGCAAATTAAAACCACAGTGTGATATCACCTTCTTCCTTTTACTCATATCAGAATGGCTTTTATTAAAAGGTCTAAAAACAATAGATTCTGGCATGGATGCAGAGAGAAAGGAACACTTATACACTGTTGATGGAACTGCAAATCAGTATAACCTATGGAAAACAGTATGGTCATACCTCAAAGAACTAAAAATCAACCTACGATTTGACCCTGCAATCTCACTACTGGGTGTTTGCCCAAATGAAAAGAAGTCATTTTATCAAAAAGACATCTACACGTGAATGTGTATTGCAACACAATTCACAATTGCAAAGATGTGGAATCAACCAAGTGCCCATAAATTCATGAATGGATTAACAAAACGTGGCATATGTATACTATGGAATACTAGTCAGCCACAAAGAAGGATGAACTAAGGCCTTTTGCAACAATTTGGATGGAACTAGAGACCATTATCCTACATGAACTATCTATAAAATGGAAAAATAAACACCACTAGTACTCTCTATTAAATTGAAACTAACAGATGAGCACACATGTGCACAGAGGAAAGTAAAACTCATTGGAAATCAAGTAGGGGGTGAGGGAGGTGGAGGTGAGAGGAGGGGATGGGCAAATATGTACCTAACAGTACCATGAACACTATCTGGATGATTGGCACACTAATAACCCTGACTCAAGCATAACAAAATCGATACAAGTATCCCAATACATTTGTGCCCTCGTAATATTTTGAAATTAAAAAAAGAATGCAAAAAAAAAGGAAAGAAAAATAAGGTCATTAGAGAACATTGCTATTTCCCATAGGAGATAATAAAATGTCTAGAAATTTTTATTACCCAATATTCTCTACATTTTTGGACTTTCTATTGAGATAGGTTGAATTACTGAATTAAATAGATACAAATAAAACTTTGAGACTGCCTTGGAGATGAAACCCCCTCATAAATTTTATAATTCACCAACACAGCTAAATCTCTCTTCATGATGAACTACCAAGGCATTACAGAAAACAAGGAAGCTTTATCCTTAAATGCTATGTTAAAATTGTATTATTCATAATATGAGGATATTTCTCCATTTGTAAAATAGTACAAACATGTATTCAATACAAGAGAGTTGGTATAACTTAAATAAGATTAAATATTTTATCCAAAATCACATAGCAAGTAAAGATGTGGTAACTTTCAGATTCAAGTCCAGGTCATTCCAGCTGTGACTCCCAGGTGTCCATTCACCTCAAGATTAATAGTCAAACAAACAACTTTGTATTCTGATTAAAAATATATTAGGGGCTTCTCTCAGCCCATTTTGATGAGACAAGCAGAAATACAACTCTGCACAACCAATATGAGCTCCAACACTTGTTGGTTCCTGTGTATTATTACATTCCCCTCCATTACCTCATTCAGATATTATGGTATCTTATAATGTGTAATGATCTTGTTGGATAAACCTGAATATAAGGAGTCATCGTTAATTACCATTCCATTCCTGTCAATATACCATTAGTTAAAGTCTCCTTGGGATGGGTGGTTTCCATGACTTCATGTGGTGTTTGGGCATGTGCACATTTTCCAACCACCTGAGAATACTCCTTACAAGGAGCCCTTTGTACCCTGGTGGTACATTCTGCCTTGGGAGACATTGGTTGAACTTCTGTAAGGAAACTAGGTTCTCTTTCCACTGAATACAGTATAAAAAACACTGCATACATTTATGTGCCCCACTCAAAATGGGTGGTAGCTGCTATATCATCAAGAGATAGAATAGAAAAATGGTGAGAAGTATTGGGTCTAGATTCATATTTCCTAGAATGAAAATCATACTCTAACACATACTTGCCATTCGCCTTGGTCAAATTATATAAGACTCCTAGCCTTAATTTGCTCATTGGTAAGATGGAGATATAAGTCTCTACATTATAGAGATGTTTGGAAATATAAATGAGAAGCTATATAAAATTGCTAAGTACAAAGCTAAGTACATCAGTCCTAATAAATTGTAGCTTTTAAAAAAAGTACTTTTCTGCTTAATTCTATAATTAGTTCTAGATTGCTGCAAATAGCATTTATGTACACTGACTATAGGCCATAATAAAAAAATAAATAAAAATCAGTTCAACCTGCATTGCCTGAAACTATCCTCCTGTCCTCCCGTGATCTGCCACCGAAGATGTCTCACGCACTAGCTATAGACTGTAAGGTTCTTTTATTCTGACTGTGAGAAGGAGTTCACTCTCTGTTCCATTATAGGTCAGTTCCCAAGTTTAGGAATTTTGTTTTGGTTGGTTGCTTGCTTCTTTTTCTTTCTTCATAAGTTCTGTGAAAAAGTGTCCCTTACATTTGCCTAAAACCCAGCTCTAATAAGACAGCTTAAGAGTGGCTAACACTTAGCTGACATATAACAACTCTTACCTGTCGTGGCTCGATTGCAGAACAGGGGATGAACACAGAAAGACACACAAAAAACACACAGACACAAAAGACGGTACAAGACTGCAGCACTTAAAGCACCAGTCATTTTATTTTTATACTGTTCAATTTTGCAAGTGTCCTACAGCTCTTTTCTCATGCCAGCTATTTTCCCAGCTATTTTCTGGGTATTTACTTGGCAAGCATCCTGCAGCTATTTTCCCAGGACGTGACTGCCAAATGTCAGCAGGAGCTGTTCCCCTAGACATAGCTCAAGAGAAAGGGGAGGGGATGCGTGCATCCCCAACCTTCAGTGTCTGGTCTCGTGTGCAGGACAACAGACAACCTTGGCTTGTGTGTGAAACCACAGGTCCTTGGCCGTTTGCCCTGAGGAACAGTTCTCTCTGCTTGTCAACAAGTCACGTCTTGCCAATTTGGGGAACAAGCAATGTGCTCCCGTTCTGCTGCCTTTGGGTCCCGGACAACCTGACCCAGGGACGTCTCCTATACTTACCAAATTGAGATCAGATTAAGAATCAAGTAGAAGTGAGTATGAAAAATATTCCTTATCCAAGCTACATTGCTGCTTTAACTGTTTTTCCTATTACTAGCAATCATTTCACTTTCTAGGACATGGACATGTAGATTGTTGCTAGACCTGGATCTGGGATCCCAAGTGTGGACCAAAGCATAGCAAGTACAATTGATCTCCTTCCTCAAACTTTTAGTGCCCTAATATTGTATCTCTCAAGCAATCACCTAGTGGGTCTCCACAGCAATTGTGTAACTTGTGTTGAATTAACACTACTCATACATACTGCAAGAATTGTTGGCAATTTTATATGAAGGGTGCTTATTTACCAAGCCTTAAGACTAGCTACCTTTAAATATCACCTCCTGTGCCTCTCCTCAATAAAGGGCATCCAGATTGAGAAGTTGTCATATTCCTACCTTTGGATACTGTCTCTACCTTCTCCTTGTGAAATTCTCATCTTGTGCCTGGCCCCTCTCTGAATCACTGGATAGAATAGATTAATGGAATTTTGTGATCAGGATCCCTTGTGCTGCAGTAGACATTTTCTCTGTTAGCCAAGCAATAAATGAACATTCACCTTGTCCTCAGCCCTAATCATGGGTTACACATTCCCCTCCTCCCTTTACCTGCTATAGAGCCTAGCAACTGATCGACTCCACACCCAGGTACCAGCAGCAGCCTTGGTGGAGATTGCAGGAGTATTCTCTAAACCCAAATATTTTAGACAGGATTGGAAACTGTGATCCTTATGGAAACTAACCAACCAACAGATAAAAGAAAATCCTAAATATAAGAAATGCTATATCCTGGAACAGATTGAATAAACTACTGAGCTTCACAGCACAGTTAGATTGTAGGAACCTTGCTGTGTACAGCCACTGGGCAAGACATCTTCAGTGATAGATCACAGAACATAAGGGAAAACTTTTGAGATAGAATGGCAGTGAAGAGTGAAAAAAAAAATCAGGATATTCTTAATGCTGCTCTATGTGTTCTGGATGCCACAAACTCAGTGTTGAGCATTACTGCTTAAAAGGGCTGCGAAGCAGTTCAAGGAGCCAGAATGCCTGGTCCCCACAACCTCTGATCCAGGTCCTTCCTCTCCTGGCTGCCCTGTGTCTATCCACCTTTTTCCTGAGGGCATCATTGGCTCATGCTCTGCCCCATCCCTCCTCTCTCCAGCCCTGGAAACTTCTATCTGGTCAAATATTTCATGCACTTGAGAGTGTTTTTATTTTTAAATTTTATTTAATTTTCTTCTTGATTAGCATTGCAATGATTTACATAAGTAATCAGTCTTTTCAAAAATAGGACATTTGATTTTGTTTCTTATCTGTTTTTAAAATTTTCATATAACCTATTGATACTGAATGTTTCTTGTCAAGATCAACAGTGATCTTCATCAAGGATCTGTTGCTAATCCAGTAACTTCTTTTAACTTTTCACTTGACTTCTCTAAAACATTTAACCTTACTGCAGGTTCCTCATATCTTGGTTAACCATTTAAAACACTACACAGATATTGTAAAATGCTCAAATCTCAGGTGTACACCTTGAGAAATTTTTATAATATGAAAAAAGGAGCATGCCCATATATCAACTACCCAGAAGAAAATGCAGATACAATTGGTGTACACCTGAGATTTGAGCATTTTACAGTATCTGTGTAGTGTTTTAAATGGTTAACCAAGATATGAGGAACCTGCAGTAAGGTTAAATGTTTTAGAGAAGTCAAGTGAAAAGTTAAAAGAAGTTACTAGATTAGCAACAGATCCTTGATGAAGATCACTGTTGATCTTGACAAGAAACATTCAGTATCAATAGGTTATATGAAAATTTTAAAAACAGATAAGAAACAAAATTCCTGGTTGTTGAAGTTTATTCTTTTCAGGCAGCTATGGACAACCTTTCCTGTGACATATTTACATCCCTGTACCTCCTTCTACCTTCAACCCTTCAGAGACATTCACATGAAGACCTGGAGGATCTATCACTGAAAACCAACATCAACAAGTCAACATCAATAACTAATTCATAAGATATGTGGCAATTGATTCATTCTTCTTAAAAAGAATGGAGAATACATAATTCAAAATAAAATTTTCCTGAATGTAAAAGAACTAATGCATAACTCATTTGAATTGATTTTTTCTATTTATAATAACACTGTGCCGCTAACAAAGTATCTCCCCTCTTTGGACCAAAACTGTTTCAATCATCCCTACTTGTTGGTCTCTTTGTGTAATAATTTTGGTCCCTAACCATGTCTGTATATCATCTCAAGCTTAAACTTACCTTGGCCTGAGTTTTGATCCAGAGAAACCATATGTTTCCAGTCCCTCTCCCACCTGCCTCATCCTCACATCATTTCCATAAAGTGTTGGTATCAGCATTGCCCACCAGACCTGTCCAGCTCTTTTGTGTAGAATTGAGAGCTTATATCCTCTTTTCTGGGGTGACTCTGGCCATGATACTCCATCAGTCTAACACCAAAACCCCAGGTCAATTACCCACTTCCCTGGATTTTCTCTATTCAACTTTCTCTAATGGGCTGATGCCTAGTAGTCCACATTTCTTTAATTCAAAAGAAGAGGGACTTATGATGACATTTCTGAAGGAGCAGGAAGAATGAGACAAAATCAAAGAGGAACAATGCAGAGTCATGGTGAGGAATATTGTCCATTCCAAAGACCTCCCATCAGGAGCCCTCTTTTCCCTGTAGATACTTTATCATCCTGCCTTTTCCCTGGATACTCCACTTTCCCTGGCCTCTGTCCAGCAGCCAAACACTGTAAGTCCTCCAGAGACTGGTTTCTCTTTGTGTTCTGGCCCCTGGGACTATCCAGATTGCAGGAGGCAGCAGATGTTTAATGGATAAAGAGTCTTTGTTTCTTCAAGTCATCAGAGGATATCTAAAATTCAGACTAACAGTAGAGTACATCCTGAAAGGAAAACAAAAGGCCCAAGATTAGAAGGATTTCTGAAAGCCCATTATGTACCAGGCACCTAATAATTGTTTTTGAAAGATTATATCATTCAATTTTCACAACCTTATAATGTAGGTGCTGTTACATCTAAATTTGGTAGGTGAAAGTGAAGTATATAAAACCCAAGTGTCAGAATATAACTTTTAGCAACAATAATTCATTTCACACTATCATAAAATTATTCATACTAATACATACTTAATATCTCAATGTCCATTTCACTGTCTTTCGTTCCCCCTGGTGATTTGCGGTAGCTTCACTGGTTCAGTGTTTCTCATGGCACTGTGTGGTAAAGGCCTGTGTGAACAGAGAAGGGAAATAGGATGTAAGAGAAACCCAGGGAGATAAGCTTTTCAAACTGAGGATAGGACATGGAACTCAGCACAAAGTATGGAAAGGCAAAATATTCTCCAAACAGAGAATTATCCAGAGGAGGTGGAGGGCAGGGCACTTAAAAGAGAATGAAAAGAGGCTACAGGGGTGTATGGATCATAGTTTAAAAGGCATGACTATAGACTGGGTATCATGATGGGACAGGAATTAAGTTGAGAGAAAGAGGCCAACAGGCACAAGATACAAAGTTTCTCTTTTTTTTATGGCAACAGGTATAGAAGTGTATTGAAATATAAAAACACCAGGAGACAATGAGCCATGCTCTCAGTTCCCTAAGTCCTCGGTGGAGACATAGTTATTCATGATGGGAATGGTGAGAGGCCTTCTGCTGTCTTCTCTCAGGGTGTTGGGAGTAAGAGCACAGGATTTTTGGTTTCTTCAGCCTAACCTGGCACATTCCTAAAGTGTGGGGCGCGGTGTCAACGCCATTACAAGTTGGCGCCTGTTTCCGGCTTTGCCTAGAGCAGCTAACAAGTTCAGCGCAGGCACAATTGTCGGCTGCCCTGTGGCGCGAGAATGCAAACAAAGGGTCCTGATATGGGCTAATGCTTTGGTGGCTCGACAGTTGGAGAGAGATATCACCAAAAATCAGAGTATTATTAAGGAGATGAAGAGGTTCAAATGCCCAAAGAGTAAGCTGCTTCTTGCACTAGATTATGGGCCTCGAGTAACTTTTCAGAGGGTAAGGGCCACTGAGTACCCACACTGGCTCTCTGTTTTCCAGGGTATGGGCAGAGGATCCCCAGCGGCGAGCAGCCCCCAAGAAAAACCCAGCCTTCCAAGCGTGGGCATGCGGAGGTGGGCGGTACGCTACAACCTGCCGCTTCCTGAAACTGGTTCCTGCCTTTCTTTTCTAGTTCTATCTGACTCTGGGTATTTTCCAGTCTGCCTCGAGAGTCAACAGTGTCAGATAAGGTGAAGATTGTCAAAATCTGATAAGGGGTCACAGTCAGCAGGTCGGGCTGCGCTTTCCTCCCTGCATTCTTTTCTACGCTTTACACTTCTTTTTTTGCTCTATATTTCTTTTTTCCACTTTTACCGGCGGTTCTTACTGCTCTCTCTGAGCTTGCTTCTTGCAAGTCACTCAGTTGCACTTTGGCTAGCTGCTACGCGCGGCCTGAAGTCTCATCATACAGGCTTTATGATAAAGCCACAAAAAGCGCCGCAGAGAATACTT